TGCCCGCGGATCTCCCATTGCGAGGTTTGTGGCGCCCAGTCACCAGACGCGGCCAGAACTGGTCGGCGCTACCGGTGTGAGGCTTGTAGATTCCCGAAATTGCGACGTCTGCAAGGTAACCCCGCGACCGCGGAGCACGAAGTACCTTGCAGCCAACATGCCGTCGTGGACGTGCTCGGCGTGCCCGTGGATCTCCCATTGCGAGGTCTGCGGCGCCCAGTCACCAGACGCGTCCGGAACTAGTCGGCGCTCGGCGAATTGGGACGGGCCGAGGTGCACGTGCGACGCGTGCCTGTACCCGCCATGCAGCGTGTGCAACAGCCCGCTGCGGCCCCGTCACCACCATTACACAGCGCGCGTCGCGCCCGCATGGAAATGCGCCGGTTGCGCGCGGACGCGCCGGCAAGGCAAGAAGGGCGTCTAAGGGCAAATGCGTGGCTGGCGCTGCGCCGCAGTTCGCCCAGGAGAAAAAGCAGTAAACTCCGGTCGTTGAATGGCCTTTGGGGCGCTTCTTTGGGGCATCCTGGGGGCTTCTTGGGGACTTCCTGGAGGCCTATTGGGGTTTTCCTGGGGTCCCTTGGTGGCCTCTTTGGGGCCGCTTGGGGCCTCTTTGGGGCGTCTTGGGGGCGTCTTGGGGGCGTCTTGGGCCGTCTTGGGGCGCTTTTGCGCTGTATCGCTCCTTGGAAGACCGTCCTGGGGGGCTCTTGGGGCTCTCTTGGGGTCCTTTGGGCCGTCGCAGGGGCCTCTTGGACCGTCTTGGGGGCCTCTTTGGGCCGTCTTGGGGCCCTCTTGGAGGCTTTTGGGCCGTCTTGGAGTCCTCTTGGGGGCTTTTGAAGCCATCTTGGGGCCATTTTGGAGGCTGCTTGGGCCGTCATCGGCTTCTGAGAGCCGACAAAGGCGAGAACGCTAAAATCTTCACAGAATTATACGAAAATCATTGATTTTGGCTTCTGGAGGCGCTATTGGGGGTCCTCTTGGGGCCCTCCTGGTGCGTTTTATGAGTTTTTTGGCCCCTCCTAGGGCTATCCTGGGCCGTCTTGGGGCCATTTTGGGGCTCTCTTGGACCGCCCTGCAGCCAGCTTGAGCCGTCTAGACGCCCCTTGTGGGTGTCGAGGAGGGTCCAGAGTCCCAAATCAATGATTTCCATTGGTTTTGGTCGGGTTTCACTAAGTACGCGGAAACGGGTCGGAAACGGGTCGGCACCCCAGCGGCGGCCTTGGGGGGATTAGTGGGGGTTGCTTTGCAATGTATACGAATGCGATGTTTTGCAATTGGCCTTCCTTGAAGCATCGTGGCTGGGCCCTGGCGCCACACACCCGCCCTGTCGGACTGCCGAGACGCTTCGCTGCAGTCCGGACGTGGATTCTTGGGCTTACGCAGCACCGCCGACCCCTTGGGGGGCTCATGGTAATTCTCTCGGGGGCCTCTGGGGGCCGTTTTGGAGCCTCTTGGGGCCTCTTTTCGGCCTCTGGTGGGGCTCTTGGAACCTCTTGGGGCCTCCTGGAGGCTTCTTGGGGCCGAGGGCTCGAAATTTCCGTTCGGGCCCCCCGCCTGGGCCCCATCCTGGAGCCGTCTTGGGGGCCTCTTGGGCCGTCTTGGGGCCTTTTTTGGGCCGTCTTGGAGTGGAGGCCTCTTGGGCCGTCTTGGAGGCTGTGGAAGCCCAAGAGGCGAATGTGCTAAAGTCATACGTTTCCTACAGGGAATGGGACGATGTTTGCTTCTGGGGGCCCTCTTGGGGCGCCTCTTGGGGGCCTCTCGGGGCGTCTCGGGGGCCTCTTGGGCCGTCTGGAGGCCATCTTGGGCGTCTTAGAACGATCCATCGGCGACTCGGGGCCCTTGGGCCATTTTGTGGGCCTGCGTGGGGGCTTGGGAGCGTCCCCCATTGATCGGCCCGCGCAGCACCTCACTCTGTCCTGGCTGCTTGCGCGGGCGCCTGCTCTCTGCCTCTCGCCCGGCGCACGGGCGCCTGGGGGGCTCGAGCTGCAGGATGCGGATCGTGGCGCGCTGCGCGTCATGCTGCTGGGGGGGCAAGCTCTTCGGCCGCCGAGGCGCAACCTATGGCGCAACCGATAGGATACGGTTTTATTTTCGGCCGCCGAGGGCACAACCTATGGCGCATCCGTTTCGCGACGGCTTGACTGTCGGCCGCCGAGGGCGCAACCTACGGCGCAACCGATAGGCGACGGTTTGATTCTCGGCCGCCGAGGGCGCAATCTATGGCGCGACCGACAGGGGGCGGTTTTATTCCCGGCCGCCGAGGGCGCAACCTACGGCGCAACCGATGGGCGCCGGCTTCATTATCGGCCGCCGAGATCGCGACCTATGGCGCACCCGATAGGCGACGGTTTTATTTTCGGCCGCCGAGGTCGCAAATTGCACAACCGTTAGGAGACGGTGTGATTCTTGGCAGCCGAGGGCGCAACCTATGGCGCAACCGTTCAGAGACGGTTTGGTTGTCGGCCGCCGATGGCGGGCGCAATTTATGGCGCATCCGTTTCGCGACGGCTTGATTCTCGGCCGCCGAGGGCGCAAGCTATGTTGCAACCGGTACGCGGCGATTTGATTTTCGGCCGCCGAGGGCGCAACCTATGGCGCACCCGATAGGCGACGGTTTTATTTTCGGCCGCCGAGGGCGCAACTTCTGGTGCAACCGATCAGAAACGGTTTTTATTCTCGGCCGCCGAGGGCGCAGCCTACGGCGCAACCGATCGGAGACGGTTTACTATCCGTTACCGACCCAAGCGAAGTTATAGGGGTCATGCAACGCACCACGCAGGCAAAACGTCCACAACGTGTCGTATGTTCCGTCGACATGCAACTGCACAATTTCAGATTCCAGCGCCGAGTTGTACTTGCGCTTGGTACCCCTGGTGGCTAGTATGTGCGAATTTCGGCGGCCGCGGCCGATGTCTGAAATTATCTGTGCGAATTGGGCACAGGACAAAATTCACGCGTCGCGTTTGTTCTCGCGTCCAGGTCATGTCGGCGGACCTCGAACGCAAGCGTTTCATCTTGCAGTCCTGCAGCGTCGGGATGTCTATGTCTCGCCTCGCCACGCTACCCACTCCCGTGCAGCGCCCAGTCCGCGGGGCGCTTTGCGCCTCGCTGCGTTGCGACAGGCTCGGGGGTTCCCGCTTCGGGCGCGACCCGCGTTTACTTCGCCACGGGCGCTCCCGCGCTTCCAGCCACATGAAGAGATCACCGCGGCGATCCCGCAAAAATGGCGATTTCTTCCTTGAGGTCGCGAGAGCGCGCTCAATCTCTTGATGCTCGGTCCGCGGCGCCTTGCATGCGCCTGATCTGCGCACGCACGCGCGCCAGAGAGAACAGGAACGCCCAGTCTTTTTCGAGCGACGCGCGGGTTCGACCCCGCAAACCACGCCAAAATGACAATCCCGCACGCCGGGCGAATCCTACAAAGGTTTCCGTCTGCCCTATCCTCCGTCCGCCCTCTTCTCCTTTCTTTTCTCATCGACGCAAGGGCCCGCGGCCCTCTATGACGCCCTCCGCTGGCTTGGGCGGTCCACCCAGGCGGCGGGGGGGGGATAGGGGATAGGGCGTTTTTGTTCCCAAACAGTTCGTACCTCGTCGCCACTGTGGGAGGGGTCGCACCGTTCCCTCGGATGGGCACACACCCCTTCCAGGAGCTCTCGACCCCGTCCCGCGCCCTGTTCCGTCCTTTCCCTCCCCCCCACCATTATCGCATTCCATTGCCTTCGGCATGTCCGCCATCGGTCGCGCCGCCGGACACATCTATCGATCTCGGGTTTCAATGCGCACCGGCACAGTGGGATCTGGCGGGTTTCGCGTCAATCATCCTTTCTACGATGCCGAGGGCGCAACCTATTGCGCGGTCGTAGACGACGACCACGGAGCCGGACCAGGAGGAAGACGAGGACGAGGAGGAAGAGGAGGAGGACGAGGAGGTCGGCGCCGACGATCAGGACGGGGAGGAGGACGGGGAGGAATACGAGCAGTACGAGGACGAACTATGGGCATTCGAATGCGTGCGTGCACACGCCCGATGTATGCTCGCCGTTTGGGCTGGTGGTGGGGCCCAAACGGCGAGCTGTCTTGTGACTTTTCACAGCAGCCGAAACTCCATTATTGTAACATGGGGTTCGCTGTTGACCGTTGCGTTTAACATGTTTTAAACGATCGTGTTGTACGACGATGCGCGACGACGACGAATAATCACGACGATGACGGACGACGCGACGGCGAACGAACGATGACACCCTTGCGGCAGAATACCCTTACACCACGATGGGGGTCCATATGGGTGGCCCACGATGGGCCACCCACTTCGGGGGCCCATCCTATTTTTCCAGGCGTGAGAAGCTTTATGTAACACATTCATGTATAAATTGTTTAGGGAATACCACGCGACGGACGGACGACGAAAATCGGCGGCGGCGGCGAGAACGAACTGCTTATCATCCCACGGCTGTTGCTCACAGCCGCGACAGGGCACTGAGCACAGCAGCCATCTTCGCTGTGAACCTCACTCGCCCTTAGCACGAGGTAAACGGGACACGGCGAGACGGGGGAGGGGGAGAGGGGGCGAAGGGAGGACTGGGGGGGGGGGGCGCAGCAGGCCGAGGTGGGGCCGCGCCGTTTCCTTCGTTGCGACCGCCCGCCGCCCGGCGCCCCGACGGCGACGACGGGTGCGGCGGTGGCGGCGACAGCGACGACGACGGTGGCGGCGGCGGCGACTACGACGACGCGGGTGCCTACGGCGACGAGCGGCGACGACGAACGGAGGCTCGCGGCCTCACGCTGCGGTCGGCACTTTCGAACCACTCGGGTTGTACGACGAGCGACGACGACGACGACGAACGACGACGCACGACGACGCACGACGACGACGACGATGACGATGCACGACGACGAACGACGACGACGACGACGACGACGACGACGACGACGACGACGACGACGACGACGACGACGACGACGACGACGACGACGGCTGCGACGACGACGGCGCCGCCGCAGCGCTGGGGACCGCGCGCGGGGGGCGGCAGCGCCCGCCCGGCGGAGCGCGCGCGTGGCCTCGGCTGGGCGGCGGCGGCGGCCACCCCGCCTCGCCGGGGCGCGGCTCCACCCCCGGACTCGGAGGAGGAACAGGTACCCATGCAGCTGCCTTGTGGCCACGCGCAGGAAGGGGCAGCGGGAGGGGGCAAGGCTTCTCAGAACCAGCCTTGTTTCTTAGAAGGCGCGGGCCTTGTCTGCAGATGCAAGGCCGCCGTCTTCTAGGAAGCAGCCTCCTTGTAAGAAGCCTTCCCCCCCTCCTTCTACCGTCGATTGCGTTTTTGGGGCCCCTGGGGGGCCCTCGTCGCCACCGCTGGCTTCACATCGAAGTTCTAGTCAGAACGCACCCCGGGAGAGGTCCGGGAAGTAGCAGTATCGGTACCTTTTTGGGTCTCCCCACAGATATCCTGCGTCTCGAAAAAATCGGGACGGACAGCTTTCATCGTTTACGGCTCCTCGGGACGCTTGCAGCAGGCCTCGGGGTGTCAAGAAACGGCTCGGGATGTAAAAAGCCGGTCCAGGGGAAGTGGTCGAGAGGTCGGGGGCCTGTGCCTCGAAAATTTCGAGACGCCGGGAAGGCGGGCAGGATTTGTCCATAACCACTGCTCGGGAGACCGATCTTCGGGGACCTCGTCTGGTGGTTGATAGGGATATGGACATCTGCAGAGCTACGATCTACGCATACACCTGTTTTCGGCCCCCGGGGGGGCAAAGTAGATCCGTATCCTCCGCCCGCCGAAGTCCCTGAAGATCGATTCCCCAGGCGGTGCTTCTGTCTAATTTTCCGCCTCGCACTTCAGCCCGAGGATCCGGTGGGTCTCCGTGGCCGCGGCCCCTGTGTCGTCCACGAGGCCGGACGCGGCAGTCGGCGGGGCAGTGCGCCGAAGATGGGGTCGGGTCGAGGGTGTAGGAACCCCATCGGCGATGCGGCGCGATCCTCCAACCCCACCTACTTCCCACAGGGTTCGAGGAGTAGAGTGTCGACTACAGAATTGATTTCTCCCCCAATTTGTTTGGCCAATTCTACAAACAAGATGTAGAATATTTATCGATTTCCGGACATTCCACGGAACATTTCAGTCTTAAGGTAAGTCAATTCTGTAGTCGACCACTCGAAGGGTCCCTTCCAAGCCCGTTCGGCCGCCGATCTGGCATCCGAGCGCGCTCAGTACCGACAGGGCAGTGGGAAGTTGGCGCGTTCGGCAGCCGGACGGGCTCGTTTCTGAGCCCATTCGACGAGCGACTGGGATCAGATGCCGACATGGCTCAGAAGGCAATGCTTGGGTCAGGCCGAGCTTGGGCGGTCTTCATTTCTTTGCATGAGGCCGCTGTCCACGGGGGCCCCATCCGGATCCCGACGTCCTGGGCGGAGCCGCGCAGGGGTTGGGCCATGCTGGCCAGCACGGCGGTGCGATGGCTGCCCCAGGATTTTGTGGAGGCAGCGCGGGTTCTCGAACATGCCAGGGCAATCCGGCTACCTACCACTCGCAGTGGCGCCGCAGAGGCTTCCCAGAAGGGCATTTCTATCACCGAGGATTCCTCTCTCTTCTCTTCTCCCCGCTTCCTCTGGAGGCTTTCGGATGTCCCTGGAGGCCTCTGGATGACACCAGCGGCCTTCGAAGGGCCAACAAAAAGCAGGCAAGCAATGTGTGCCAGCGTGGACCCCGAGCAGTGGACTCTTATACTCTCGATGTGAACCCCATGTGGTGTGATCTGTGGGGTGAAATTAATTTATGTTCGCAGTGAATTGTCAACACATGCTCTTGCAAACATCTCACCCACCCACCCGCAACTTGGTTTGCAAAACCCATGCGGTGGCGATTGCTATGCATGCTTGGCGTTGGCTGGTGCATTTCGGTGGCCGCGCCAACCCTAGCACGCGCGCGCAGCGGCCAGGTAGCTTGGCGCCACCGGCGCGGCCGCGGTGGCGCTGACCGCTGGGCGCATCCCAGCGGGCTTGTCGCTGCGAGTCGGCAACTTGGGCGGGCGCGGTATCATGGCAACGCCGACCACGGTAGACACGATGATGATAGTGACGATGTTGGTGACGATGTTCGCACCGACGAAGGCGCGGCCAGTGCGGGCGCCGATGCTGATCACGCCGACGACGATGACGGCGTCCTCGCGTCGGTGATGAAGGTTTTGGAAAGGGTTCGACATGCGCGCGCGCGGCTGACGCGCGAGAGTGGCCCGCATGGTTTTGTTTAACACGGATCGTGCCCCCCCCCAGTAAGCGTGCAAGGGCGTGCGAATGTTGCCTGCATGCGGCGCCAGGGACCCGCTTGGCAGAATTCCATGGACATGTTGAGGAAAACGCTTAGTGTTTAAAGAATGCGCAAGAGCGCGTGCGCATTTTGTTCAATTGATGTTGCGAAACCAAGTGTGCTTACAAGTTTTTTGTTTGTTTGGTATTCGCTTGTGAAGCGGCTACGAAGCCGAAGGTTTATGAAGAGTTCTGGCATGCGC